ATACACATAACATGCTATCTCATAACGAATCACAGAACAGCCACGCATATCGGGTCTACTGTGGGACTGGTCCGCCTTGTCGGCCCTTCAGTCCATCTGGTCCACCCTCCGTGTCCAATCATGTCCCTCGAGTCTGCACTGTGGTTGGTCCGCCCGCACTGGGCCTTCAACTCACCTGGTCCACTCTCTAAGTCTACAGTATGACTGGTTCGCCCGCATTGGGCCTTCTGTCGGCCTGGTCCACTCTCTGAGCCTCGGCACGTCTTGCCCGCCCTCGTGGGGCCTACAGCCTATCCGGACCGCTCGTTGGGCCTTCGGACTAACCGGTCCACCCTGGGTATCTTGGCCTACCGCACAAATCAGGACCCGCCTCAACCCAACTCCAGTCCAAACAACCATGTGCACATAAACAAACAATCACATAACAATTCTTATTCAGGCAACCGATCTAGCAGATCACATATCACAACATACTCTAACAGGATACCGACCTAACCGGTCACTAGCATAGCCTCACCCTACATACCAGGATACCGACGTTAACCAGGTCTCTAACGAATACCATCCTAACTACCAGGATGCAAACATATAAGAGCAATAACATAACAACAGATACCCGGATCTCAATCCGATAAAAGGGTCGGCCTTCGTGCCTTAGACCCTGTTGATATAGTGAGGATAACTCACCTCGAAATTGCCGGCTGAAAGGATAAGATCCCGCTGCTCCGAACTCTAACACGAACTCCTCCACTGAACACCAAAACACTCAACTCAATAAATACCCCTTAATTACCAAAATACCCCTGGAAGACAACTGGACAAAGTCAAAGTCAACCCCTGACTGACTCTACTCGCCGAGTCAACCCGATGACTCGCCGAGTCCCTATGCTCAGAACTTCCCTTAATCCGCGACCTAACTCGTCGAGTCACCCCGAGACTCGCCGAGTCCAACAACTCTGAGTCCCCACTCGCACCCAACTCACCGAGTCATCCCTTGACTCACCGATTCTCGACTTAACCCAAAAATATTGGGACTCTTCGATAAGACTTGCCGAGTCCAAGAACAGACTCGTCGAGTCTAAGGCTATCTTTAACCTACTCGCCGAGTTGTTCATCCAACTCGTCGAGTTCCAGCTCATCTTCAAGCAACTCGTCGAGTCCACCCATGTGACTCGCCGAGTACCACCGGTCTGAATCCATAAAGAAGCATTCCAGGCCATGCAATTGATCCAAAACATAGATCTAGCCTCCTACAATCCATCCATCACGTAAAGTGGCAAACTTTACGTGAATCCAAAGAGATCTAGGCCTTATTCACTTTAATGCTAGGGTTTGGGACATGATGGCTTCACTAAGCACTCAAACACAGGGACTTTAATGCTCTCTAGGCCTTCCCTATTTTAGATCTGAGGTAGCAACCTCAGATCTAACCTCCAAACTCTAAAACATACAAAATAAGCTCCCCATAAACCCCAAAATGAGGAATCCATATGAGTAATAGCCCAAGAACGAGATATTACCTCAAAAGAATGCCCCAACTGCAATGAAACTTGAATTCAAGCAAATCCCTTTGATCCAAGCCTCTTCTCCTTCAAGATTTCTTCAACAAACACCTCCCTAAGCTCCAAATGCACTCCAACCTTCCACAATCACGCTTTCTAGGGTTTCTGGACTTTAAGGGGGATCAAAGAGGCCGGGGAGAGGATATAATGTTCTTTAAATAGGGCTCATTTCCCAGATTTAGGGTTTTCTCCACTCAACACCTACTCGCCGAGTCCATGTTTGGACTCACCGAGTAGGCCACTTGACTCGCGACCAAAGTCGCGACCCTACTCGCCGAGTCCATCCATGGACTCGCCGAGTTTCTCTTCAAAATTTACACTTTTAGTCCTTCAACTCTACTCTTGCTATTCCTGGATGTTACAAATACCATCCCTAGCTCGATATATGAGTCCAAGAAGTTGCTAAAAGGAGTAGGTCTACAATATGAGAAGATTCATGCATGTGAAAATGATTGTGTTCTATTCTGGAAACAACATAAAGATGCTTCTCAATGTCCAACTTTTGGCACTTCTCGTTGGAAGAAGAATTCCAAAAACATACCTTCAAAAGTTTTGTGGTATTTTCCTATCATCCCTATATTTAGAAGAATGTTTTCAATACCACAAATTGCACATGACTTAACTTGGCATGCACAAGGTCGGGTCAATAATGGGAAGCTTACTCATCCTCGTGATACCCCTTCTTGGAAGCTTGTTGATAACACATGGAAATAATGCGGACAAGAAAAACGAAATCTTAGATTAGCCTTGTCTGCTGATGGTATCAATCCGCACAAGTCATTAAGTTCCAAACATAGTTGTTGGCCGGTTACCCTAATAACATATAATCTACCCCCTTATTTGTGTATGTCAAGAAAATTCAAGATGTTGACTCTGTTGATATCCGGGCCAAACAAGCCTGGTAACAATATTGTTGTCTACTTGGCACCATTGATAGAAGATCTAAAGCTCTTGTGGGAAACTGGCGTTGAGACTTTTGATTCTCATAAGAAAGAATACTTCAATTTAATAGCAATATTACTTTGGACTATAAGTGATTTTCCCGCATATGGTAATCTTTCGGAGTGTGTTACCATAGGTTATTATGCTTGTCCAATATGTTCAAAGAATACTTGTTCACAATGGTTGCCAAAGTCCAAAAAAGTATGCTTCCTTAGGCATAGAAGATTCCTACCACTTGAACATCCTTTTCGCAAAAGAAAAAAACATTTCAACAATCAACAAGAGCACAATTTTATGCCACAACCATCATCAGGTGAAGAAATTTATGACTATCTTGCGGGATTTGAGAATACATGGGGTAAGAAGATAAAGCCAATGAAGGTAGTATCAAAGAAGGTAGGATCAAAGAAGATAAAGTTAAAGAAGATAAAGTCAAGGAAGGGAGCATCAAAGAAGGAAACACCAAAAAAGTAAAAGACAAAGAAGAAAAAACAAAGTATCGATGAGAGATCTAAATTTTGGCATAAAAAGTTGATTTCTTTTGAACTTGAATATTGGAAGAAGTTGCCTGTTCGCCATCAGTTAGATATCATGCACATAGAAAAAAATGTGACCGAGAGTGTTTATGGGACAGCGTTGAATTTGCCTCACAAGACGAAGGATGGATTAAAAGCACGACACGATCTTGAAGCATTGGGCATCAAGACTGGATTACAACCTGAACCAAAAGGGGATCGACATTGGCTTCCGCCTGCCAAGTACACATTGAATTCCGCAGAGAAACATCTATTTTATGAAACCCTGTATAACATAAAAGTTCCTTATGGGTATTGCTCTAATTTCAAGAATCTCGTGTCGGATGATGTTTCAAAGATGAATGGTTTGAAGTCTAATGATTGTCATGTACTAATGCAACAACTTCTCCCTTTTGCAATCAACGGGGTGTTAGATGTGAAGGTGCGGAGAACAATCCTAAGCATGTGTCATTTTTTCAATGAGTTGTGTAGTAAAGTTGTTGATGTTAGTAAGTTAGGCAAGTTGCAAAGTGACATCGTATTAACATTATGTTTGTTAGAGAAGTACTTTCCTCCTTCATTTTTCGATGTCATGACTCACTTGATGGCGCATTTAGTTAGAGAGGTGAGGTTGTGTGGCCCGGTTCATTTTAGGTGGATGTATCCATTTGAGAGATACATGAAAACACTTAAAGGGTATGTGAAATCATCATCGACTCGAGGGTTGCATTGCAGAGTGTTATGTGGCAGAGGAGGCCTTAGAATTTTGTTCAGACTACTTAACAAACAAGAAATCAATTGGCAATCCTCATGAACGTGTTGATGAAAGAATCCGCAGTGGCAAACCTTTATCAAAGGCTACAATTGATGTTGTAGATGCGCAGTTACTTGATCAAGATCATCTTTATGTATTACGAAACACTGCTGTTGTGGAGCCGTATATAGAGTAAGAATTACATGAACCTGTATAATCTTATACCATTATCTGTCATATAAAACATTCTTCTAACATGTAATACACTTCAGGCAACATATGTTGGAATTGAAGGATCTGAACCCCCATCATGCTCGCAAGAGTACATGGTTGTAGAGCCAGCATAGTCGGACATTTATTAGTTGGTTTAAGAAAGAGGTTTCTTTTTAAAATATGATTGTTAGAATTACAATATTTTTAATTATTTTTTTGAATTACATTAATTAGATATTTTTCTATTAGGGTGGAAAACGTTTGGCTAACGGGAAGATATTCGTGATGATGTTCGTTGGTTGGCCAAAGGGCCTATTTTTGTTGTTACTAAATATAGCGGTTTTGCCATAAATGGGTATCATTTTCATACAACATATCGAGATGAGTCTAGAACAACTCAATGCAGTGGAGTATCTTTAGTTGCACATACTATGCAGATTGCTAGTGCAAAAGACTCCAATCCTGTGTATGGTGTTGTTACTTACTTCGGTCGTATAAAGGAGATATGGGATCTTAATTATCGCATGTTTAGTATTCCTGTATTCATGTGTGATTGGGTTGATAGTTGTGGAGTAAAAAATGATGATTTAGGATTCACGGTAGTTAACTTTAATAGGCTTGGTCAGAAGTTTGAACCCTTCGTATTAGCTAGTCAAGTCAAACAGGTTTTTTATGTTCAAGATCAACAAGATGAGAATTTGCATGTTGTTGGATTCACACCTCATAGGATGTACAAGTATGGATCAAATGGTGAAATTGATGATATGTTGGAATTTGATGTTACTTTTGATTTAACACAAGACTCCTCTTTATTAGACCTTGATGATGATTTTTTGTGTATGCATCCACATGGCGAGGGCATATTAGTTTAAATATTTTGTTTGCAGAATAATAAAGTTTTTGGTATGTGTTTATTTCAGATTTTGAATGTGATTAATTTTTTTCCAACTGCAACAAATAACAACGTACTTAATTTAATTTGAATCTTGTTGAAACAGGTTGTGTTTTTGTGACATGGAATCAGATTCAGCTTCTGATCACGATGAGGACTCCAAACAAAGAGGTCCGACAACAAAGACAAAAGCTAATAAAGTGAAGCTTGTAAATAAAAAAGGTGTCCCGGTTGGAATGGAAGCCACAAAATTGTCTACTTTTGAGGGTTTGGTTGCAAGAACAATGGTTCCCATAACCTATGCTTCGTGGCTGGAAGTTAGTGAGGAAGTAAGGGAAGGGTTATGGCAATATGTTTTGGTAAGTCTCTGTTTTCTTCCTGTTATTACCTTTGTTCAGATCTGTTTTTGTCCCTGTTTTTGTCCCTATTCAGATTTGTTTTAGAACCAACCTTTTTTTTTGTTTCAGGAAAAGTTTGTAGTTGACCCAAAGAGCCGGAAGCAAATTCTCCAATCGATCGGGAAGAAGTGGAGAAACTTCAAACATTATCTATATGCCAAGTTCAATAAGAATCAAAGTAAATATCCCAAGGCAAATCTATTCAAACCTCCGAAAGATTATCCGTTTATAAAGAAAGAAGATTGGAAAGTTTTTGTATCCCATAGAGTTACAAAGAATGGGAGGTTTGTTAAACTTTTCTTATATGCATTTGTAGTTACAATTTTAATGTTTCTAATGCAGGAGAAAAGTATGAAAGCTAAAAATACCCTTGCACATCATAAATACAATCATCGTTTGAGCATAAAAGGATATGTTGGACTCATTAATGACATTGTATGATTCCCACTGAATATTGATTATTTTATTTGTATATATTTATGTTAATTGATTTTGTTATTCTTGATAATTTAGATCCAAGAAACCGGCAAGACGGAAGAGGAGATTGATAGGACAGTGCTGTGGAAAAAAGCAAGAGAGTTGAAGACAGGAGCATACGATACAGATGTGAAGATGATTGTTGATAAAATTGTAAGTTTAATTAATTCCCAAATATATAAAAAAATAACATTTGTCCCATTTTATTTTTCTAACATTTGTCCCATTTTCTTTTACAGGATGAGCTTCAGAAATCAGGAAGCTTTGGAGAGGTTACATGTGGAACACATGATGTGCTTATAGAGGCCTTGGGTACTCAGGAACAATGTGGGCATGTACGAGGGATGGATAAATTTATAACGCCACAACAATACTTTTATTTACCCAAGAATGTTAAGTATTACTTGGAGATTGAGAACGAGAGGGTGGATAAACGAATCAACAAACTTGAAGATGACTTGGAGAAACTAAAAAGAGGTGTACTTAATGTTTCTGAAGCTGCAAGTTGCCAAGTAGGGGGCGTCATTGAAGATTTTGAAAAACAACCACATGATGAATCACTTGTAAGTCCTTGAAGACAATTATGAAAAATATTTTTAAAGAATTTTCTTTTTCTACAAACTAACATACTATATTTTGCAGGATAATTCATTTCTTCTTGCGGTTGAATTTGCTGCAAATGTAGTTGCTAAAGGAATCATAATGAAGTATAGTGCATCGGGTATTTTGAAATATATTTGCATTATTATTATTTATATATTTTCATTTTTTAGAAGATTGGATCTTAATTATTTTTTTATCTTTATGTAACGGATGAAAACATTGAAGTTATGATTGAAACAATTTTGCAAGGAGAAGCTTTAATACCTTTTCCACTTGAAGAGGAGTTCATTGTGAAGGTCAGAGATGGACTGGGACACATACTAAGCTGGCCAAGACACTTAATTATTCGATGCTCTAACCTGGTAATACTATTTGAACATATTTGCCCTTGGTTATCTTAATTTTTTTGATATTTGAGTGAGTTCTTTTTCAGCTTCAACTCAGTAAATGATTCCTGTTTCATTTTGTATTTTTGATTGCATTTGTAGGGAAAAGTGGTGGCGAAATCTGTGAAAAAGCATGCAACACAAGTGAAGAAAGCTGCAACACCAGTGAATGAAGATGTAACACCAATGAAGGAAGATGCAACACCTCCAAAAGAAGAAATAGGAAGTAATAAGAAAGAAACGGGGACAGGAAAAATGGTTGATGGAGAAAAACAACCATGTGATATGGTAGAAGGGAATGATGTGGAAGAAGTGATTGGAATAGAAAAGAAGATTAAAAAGGATAAACAAAATGTGACCGTGCAAAGAAGGTGGACCAGAGCATAGATGAAGATAAGGATAAGGATTGAGAAGAGTAGTATTTTGAAAATGACTGCAATGATGGCTGATGGACAAGTTACAAAGGTTGATTCTATAAGAGTGCAGAGTGAGAACGATCTTTTTGGGTACGATAGTTACACGTACTTAAATTGGGATGATTTTGAAGCAGTTCTTACAATGGATGAGCTGACCGGTGATGTTATTGTGTCTTATATGATGTAAGTGCAAGAAATTTAATTTAAATAACAATGTGTCTTAAAACAAAATTTGTTTAATGAATTTAGTGTTTGTATGATAATAGGGTGTTGTTTGACAAATTGAAATATGGCTCCCCAGAAAGAGACCATGAAATTTGCTTTGTGAACCGGACAGTAATCCCACCAAGTACGCGTAAAGGGAAATCTAAGAATATTGACGATGCAAGCAGAGGTTTAGCAGATCGGTTGTCTATAAGAAAGGGCAATGACATCATGCCCTATAATCATGGGTATTGTTATTTGACATTTTATTTTGAAAATGACTACAATTATGTTATTAGACATTTTATGTTGTTTGTGGTTTTTGTAGAAGACATTGGGTATTGGGTGTACTAGACATGAAATCGGATACTTGCTATTATCTTGATTCCTTGAGCTCTGGCAATTTCAATATGCAGTTGAAACAAATTCTTGATTCGTAAGTAATATAAATTATCAAAACACTTGATGTGAGTACAATAAACACATATTTGTTCATGTTTTTTTATAGGGCAATGGTTCTGTACACTACACAAAGTGGATCCAACAAAAGGATTAAACTAAATTGGGTTAATGTTACGGTTAGCACTTAATTCCTTATTGAAATTGTAGTTTTAACTTTATTTTTTGGATCAATTGAAATGATCATTTTATATGTAATTGTGTAGTGTCCAACTCAGCTCGGATCTAATGAATGTGGCTACTACATGCTAAGGTTCATGAAGGAGATAGTGGAAGAAGGAATTGAAGTGTTGGTCAAAGACAATGTAAGGATATAGCATTCTACTTTCATTACTATAATTTATGGCATCCTTACTGTTACAGAATACGTGCTTTCATTCATTTGAAAGTACAATGCTCTATTAAGAAAGAATAATTTACATTTTATGTTTAGTTGTTAAATATAGCAACTTACTGTTACAGAATATGTTAATATGCCATTTTTTATTAATAAAAACAATATGCAAATGTTTTCACAGATCGGGGATTGCAAAGTTGAGTACACGACTGCTGATACCGATGAGATACGTGAAGAATGGTCAACGTTTGTTACAGGCTTCATTTATCGATGATATGCATGGTCTTTTGACAATGTATCTGCAAAACAATGTTATGGTTAACAGTGAAATGCTAGGTATGGTCTTTTGACATGTGTAATGCTAGGTAGTCTTTTGAGACACATGTACAATTTTTTGCTAACTTTTAGTAATGTTACTTAAGGTAACTTGACATGTAGTTACAGCTTAGGTAATTCAACATATATGTAAAGTTGTTTGACGTTTAGATGAAAATGAATGTTTTGGCATATTTGTCATTTATTATGTGTATTCACGTTGTAAATGTGTGTCGTAAATGCACGTCATAAAAACATCGTAAAGGCGCATCGTAAAAACGAGAGACGTAAGGTTACGACACGCGAATGCGTGTCGTCCTCCTTTATGACATGGCCTTCCTTGACACGCATTGCGTATCATAAGCGCGCGTCATCTCAAGATGATGCTGTCTTTATGACATGGCCTTCCTTGACACGCATTACGTATCATAAGCATGTGTCGTCTCTAGACAACACGCATTTGCGCGTCGTCTCTCGTTATGACATGGCCTTCCTTGATGCGCATTGCGTATCATAAGCGCGCGTCGTAAATACGCGTCGTCTATAGACGACGCACATTTGCACGTCGTCTCTCTTTATGACATGGCCTTCCTTGACATGCAATTGCGCGTCATCTGAGCCTTTTACGACGTGCAATGAGCGTCATAAAAGGCCTTTTTTCTAGTAGTGATTTATGTGCGAGCAACCACAGAACACGAAAAACTCACCTTGATGGCGTTAGTCATAATCGGATGTCGTCACGCTACCCGCAGACATGCACCCTACGTTTAACCAACATTTATTTTCTAAGGCTTAAACCTATAAACATCTTATGTGTTTGTTTTGGTTCCATCACGCATATGCCTCCTTCGGCCAACCAATAATTATTTCATCATATAAAACAGAATGTGCGTAACAACTTTAATAAAGATAAGATTATCTTTTTCTTCATTTTCTTTTCATGTCGTCATTCCCATTTAGTGAAGTTTTACCTGTAAAAGATTTAATACTCACATGTCAAAATAACTAAACCTTAAAACAAAGACTTTGTTTGAATAATAACAATAAGTAATCTTAACATCAATATAAAGTAACAAATTTAAAATAACAACCATTTATGTAATGGTGTACAAAATTAAAAATTATCAAATTATAAAAACTGAAGGGGCTATTTTTATATCTTTTGTTATGATACACAAGTAACACATTTGTTACCTATTTGTGAAAACTAAAATTGCTAACTTATCAACAATAGTGGGACCATTTATGTAAATATCATTTTTATCATCTGAAACATCAAGAAAACCGTTTCAACAAAAGATCCAGATTCTTTTCTTCTTTACGCGAACAATAAAAACGTTTTCGACCACTTTATCACGGTAAACCTTAAAAACCGTTGTTAAATAAAATTTATAAAACCACTATTAATCATCTCCATTTGATACTAACATATTCATATACTAAATCTTGAATAACTTATTATAAAACAAGTTTAATTTCACCATTTCTTTTATCAAAACATAACATTTGTTTTTCACCAAATTCTATTATTCCTTGGCTGAAAAGAGACATAGGGTTGAACCAAAATACATACTCAAATCCTATAAACCTACTCAAACAACTTAATCAAACTCAAGTCGAATAGACATACCTCAATTTCTAAAATAGCTTTGAAAACCTTCATGAACTTCAAACCCCGAATTCTCTTTTGTTTCCCTAACCTTCCTTGCACTTTTTTTGTGGGCATTACACTTTATTTCTCATGCCTTTTATAATGCCCAAGTTTGTAACCTTTCTAGTTAACCCAAAAGTCCAAATTTATGACACTAATCAAAGTGATGGGTTTTGGAATTAAAATTCCATAATTTCTCTATTTACTCCTACTTAATCACCCATTATATTATTTTAATAATATAGTCAAATTATATATATATTTATACATTTATTTTAGTTTAAGTTATCACAAACTTCCCCCCTTCGAAAAATTCCGTCCTCGAAATTTGAATTCAGTCAACCAATATGGATATTTGATCTTCATATCTCGATCGCTTTCTAATGATGCATTCGATACTTTGGTATCTGCAATCAATAAGTCGCCCCTCGAACTCGCTCCTTAAGAAGGTCCAATAAGTCGGAGACTCAACCATCCTTTACAAAATTGCACCATGTCTTTCCATGAGGATCCGTTCAACATGACTTTATCTCCACCTGAAACACTATTAACTTCCTACGTTTAACCACATAACTTTTTCCACAAGTATGTTTCACCCAATGACACGATTTAAGGGAACATTTTAGATATCCAGAGAAAGAACCGATGGTCCATTTCCCTTCCCACTTGGCACAACACATCCATTATGCTCAAGCATTTAAATATCCAAAGAAATGAGTAACATCTTAAATCCTATCCCCGTCGGTCACAACACACCCGTTATGTTCCCAACTCTCAAACACCCTTGTCCCCACTAAATGTGTCATCATACACCAACTAAACAAATCTAAAAACTTTCCTCTTATCCTCTACCATGGATTATTTCTAACTCTTCTTCAATTCACCCAGTAGTCTAACGCTTACATAAATTCTCATCATTTTGAATCTTACTTGATTCCTTCCTTATCTTATGACTTAGTGTATATGTGACAACGTTAACCTTCCGTAATCAGTAAAGATCTTACACCTTCTTTGACTTTTGGTAATCCATGCACATCTACAACGTCCCATCCTTTTCAAGTAGGTTATGCAACTATTAAATAAATCCTTTCATCCTGCTAGGACTTTCGAGAACTCCCTTACCAATGGTATATTTGTCAGATAATCTTCTCCTATGTAGTACCCATGCCTGAACAATTTTCCTACTACAATTTATGTTAGCATGGTTTTCGACAACTAAGCCATTCCTATCACGATATCAAAACCTCATAGTTCTACAAGTATAAGTTTTAGAGGTACAAACAACTGTCTATTTCAATCAAACAATAATCAATATCCTTTCTTATTATTACCCGATGGTCATCGTCATTCTCTATTTCTAGAGAAACTTTTACATTCCAGTCTAGGCACTTACAAAAAGCAAAGAAAGAAAAATGTTTGCATCCACATCCAATAACACCCATATTATATTTACTAAGAAAGCACATGCAACTATATCGGGTATTATGAGCTTCCTAAGCTATCATATGGAAAACTCTTCCTTTTGTCCTTGTTATTTCCGCCTTTTCATCTCCCGATCGATTCCCTTTCTCTATCATCATGCGTTGATTATTGTTACCCTTATTTTGAGGACAGTTTGACTTGATGTGATCTGGGGCCCCGCACCCATAACATACCTTCCCCATTATACAATCTGAAGCGATATGTCCTATCTTTCCACATTTGTAGCAAGTTCTTTGGTTCATATTACACTCCCCTTTATGGAGCCGTTTGCATATAGTACATTGTTCTATCCCTGACTGTTGCTCATAGTTACGATCTGAACTAGAAGTCTTGCCTTTCTTTGAGTCTGTATTTAAATTTTCCAACTTCCTTTTTCCTGAATCCTTATTCTCACCCCTGACAATTCTTTTCCCGCTCTCGGCCTTCCGCGACGTCTACAGCAGGTAAAATTCGCGGATACGTAAAGAACCAACATTGGTCTATCCCTGAAAGTACTTGGTTTATGAATTTGCACACATTCACG